GAATCTAACTGTGATGGTCCGAATGTGTCGGCCATGACAAATGCAGTCAGAGGTTCAAATTATCAGGGACAGAGTAAGAGAGTGGAATACACTCCTGGATGAAAGTCAGCAGCTTCACTGTGGCCATCACTATGATTTTTATTCCAAACGTCCTGATAACTCACATTTGAGGTTCACACTCAGAGAGAAGGTGTTTTTTTCCCCCCCAATCATTGCAGTATAACACAAAGTCAGCTGAACTTCGCAGATATCAACGTGTCCAGACAGGAAGCACTCATTACACTGCAGAGACACCAACAGGACATTAATCCAGCTGCACGGTGTCTGTCTCACTGCAGGACGCCGGCCCCTTGTGGATTCTGGATCTGACAGTTCGGTCAGAGACGAGCACAGAAGCTCACTTTGTTCTTCCTCACACAGAGGAGCAAATAAGGCTCCGTCCAGTTCTGTTTTTAATGACCCATCACACTGCTGAGAATGTGCTGGTCGATATGGATGTGCCATCCTGGAGGAGATGAACCCGTGCCCAGATCTAGCCTGAATGAGCTGCAGGTACCGTCTCATTCCACCAGCAGTGACAAAGACATGAACGGAAAGCAAAACTGGTTAAAAAATAAATAAAAAAAGCAGCCAGGAGGGATGAGCAGAGCGCAGCGCTCTGTGGTCAGCACCTGCAAGACCATTCCCTTTATTTGGGGTTTGTCCAGCGCACCTGCTGCCACTTTCATCTGCAAAGCAGGTGAAACAGAGTCAGTTTATGCTTCCCAACTGGACACACCGTCTCTGAAGTTTGACTGTGTTATTCATTTAACCCAGTCGAGCATTTTGGAGACTTTTTCTTTGTGTCCTACCCAGTTACTGTTTTTTTAAACTGGTAGTTATACAAGTCAGTATCATATTTAGTCATTATTACCTTAGGAGAACACGAAGATATTCAAACTTTACAATAACTTTTTAATACAAGAGGGCTGTTATGATTCATCACCTTCCAACCGCCTCCATGTCTGTGTAACCAGGTCATAAATTACATAATGTTATAATTACACAAAATGTGTTCTAGACCCCAAACCCCTCCTATCATACCTGACTTTTAGGACCTTCAAGCCTGTAGTTATGTTCATTATCAGTTAGAGCCCCTCCTCCTTCTTTGGTGCAACCCTATAAATACGGGGTTCCCCTTTGGCCCCTCCCCTTTTCCACAGTTCCCCTGTGGGAGAGGTTGGTGTCATTTCTTTCCCAACACTGTACAACACACATAATGTATATTTAGCCACCCTGATGTTTCTGATTGTGTTTTAGTTCAGTTATTGTCATCACTGTGCCCGTCTTTGGTAGATACTGTAAATGTGTAGTATGTGTGTGCCACATGTGTTATAGGCACAGTTAATGCTATCATGAATAGATCATTTTTGTTAGCTTGGAAGTTGTGGTGGGTTGAGCTAACCCTCTTCCTTACCGTTTACATTTGGTTGTAGGAGCTGGAGCGGGCAAGTTGGAGGTCTTTCTTTCTTTTACCTTTCAGTGTCAGACAACGCAGGAACACACCGGTTACAGCTGCTTGTCATATATTTTACACGACCTTCAAAAAAGATGGTTTCTCATGTACGCAACAGGAAACATGAGGAGACACTTTCACTTGTATGAATGCTCCAGTGCAGCTAACCCAGCTCAGCCAAAGCAAAGTTTCTGCCCAGTGAACACACTGCACATTTAAATGCATAAAAACAGTGAAAAGATAATCATAAATAGGGATAAAAGTAACAATATCACATAACAGGAGTCATGACACCACAGGAAATATTTAAATCCCACATCAAGCACATCAGCCAGGAGGAACGCAAACACAAAATGGGACATTTTTGCTGTTTACAGTTTCAAAATAAAAATCGCCACACACACACACACACACACACACACACACACACACACACGAAAATATCATTTCTAGCCACACTACTAAGGCATGAGTTAATACACAAACAGTGCTTGAACTCAATGGAAGATTTCATGAAGGGAAGAAAAGCTGTGAAAGAGTATTTAATAGGTCGCAAGTAAAGAGAAGCTCAGAGAATGTGACGGCACTTACCCCAGGCTCCTCTGTCAAAACTATGATATCCAGATGGACTACAAAATGAGCTCAATGAGTTTTGAGCAGTTTGTTGCAAAATTTTACTTCATTGTGAAGGTTGGAGTACTTCTTAAAGCGGGGTGGGCACCTCCAGGCCTCGAGGGCCGGTGTCCCTGCAGGTTTTAGATGTGTCCTTGAACCATCACAGCTGATTTAAATGGCTAAATTAGCTCCTGCAGTTCTCCAGAGGCCTGGTAACGAACTAATCATGTGATTCAGGTGTGTTGACCCAAGGTGAGATCTAAAACCTGCAGGACACCGGCCCTCGAGGCCTGGAGTCCGACACCCCTGTCTTAAAGGAACATACAACCTGTGCAGTTTCTCATTTTCCTTCCTGATCCAGTGGAACTCCAGCTCTCGTCTTTGTTTGGATTTCTATGACAGTGTCAGGGCTCTGTGTGCGGGCAGGCGGAGGTGAGGATCCAAATGCAGGACTCAGAGACTGAGTGCAACTCAAAAACCACAGCTTTATTGGTGGCAGAAAACAAAACAGAAACCTAACTGGGAAAACCCACAAACTGGACACACAGGCAAAATCTGATGGTTCAACCCAACACTGGCACAAAGAAACATGGGGCTTAAACACACTAAGGAGGTCATCAAGGAATTAGAGACAGCAGGGGAACACAGCCGGGAGGAATGAGACCCAACGAGACAGGGGGAGCGAAGCTAGAAACACTGACATCAGACATAACCCTTCAAAATAAAACAGGAAACAATTCACAAAGACAGACTAAACATGGACTTTACACAGAGGGAACACACGGGCAGAGAAGACGAAGCACAGAACTAAACCTAAACTAAACACGAGGGCATAAGAACAAAACTTAAGAACTAAACCCTAAACCAGAATAAACTGAAACGTAGACTTATAATAATAATCAAAGCAGGATAACTAAAGAATCAGACATAAATCATAATACAGAAGAATACCAGAAGCATAAGAAACTGAAAATGCTGGGTCAACATGACAGACAGAAGTCAAATTCCCTCCATTCGTCACTTATCACTGAAGCATGTTCAGTCACATGACTTAACTGGACTTTTTTCAGTCAACTGGGGTCACAATATTTTTGCCCATGAATACAATAATAATAGAATAAATTAATTTCTTCATTTCTGCATCTGTGTACTCCATGTCTCCATCTTTAAACTTTATATAACTTGAAGTCTCCTTTGCAAAACCTGAATGAGGCACTATGCTCGGATAAAGGTTTTGTTAATGATAGAGTTTGTTGTGTATATTTAACCTAGAATAAAATCTGCAATCCCTAGACAGTTTGTGAAATTTTATTAGAATCATTTATGATTTATTCATCAGAGAAATGAGGGCTGGAAGCAATCCATCTGCTGTGACTGAAGCTATAAAGACGTGCAGGAGTGCCGAGGCGCTCTGGTTGGGCGTGCAGGGTCACGCTGCAGGAGGGATTTTATTCCAGTAAAATGAAGGTTAGTTCTACTTGATGCCAAATGAGCATCCCACCTGAGTGGAAGCCACAGCGGGAATCTGGACCAGCGGCCTGATGAATCACATTTAAACTTCATTTTGGCAGCGTAACACGCGCTACAGCCCACAGCTGCCTCGTCCACACATCGCTGAGTGTGAGCCGACCAGTCGAGGCTCGACATGGGAATAGACGAGGGGGCAGAGGAGTCCCCGCTTCATAAACTCCCGCTGAACGTCTGTTTACTGACATCAGGACTGAGGGCAGAAAACAATACTGAGCCCCTGCTTTACTTGAGCTCGCTGCATGAAAATGGTAGCATAGAAATGTAAGTTACATAACTAAAGTCCTGAGGACGCAGAATATTCACTCTTGCACGACTTTGTTATAACCGCATGTTGGTATTTTTTTCCTTTTTCTGGAGCTTTATGCATCACTAATATCAGATGTTAACAGTTTTAATCACTGGGCACTTTTGCAGGTTATATATTTTAATTTGATCAATAACTTGAATGAATCACTGATTAAAATAACTCTAGTAATTCCATTTGAAGCAGCTGCAGCCTTGCTAACAGGATAGCACATCTAACCACCAAGCCTGAAGCTTCCTCCACACTCTGCATCACCTGAGTCCTTGGATCCAGTTGTGATATTATTTGAGAACATCAGGATGATCTCTCCCAGATTTTCTTGTTCAAGCTAAATATGTATCTGAGAAGCAGCAAGAGCCAGTGTCCAACTCTGTGCTCCCACAGCAAGAAATCCTGCCAAACCTCCTCAATCCAAATCTGAACCCAACGCATCTAATAAAAGTGGGGATTCTGATTAAAAGGCACTTTTTGTGATAAAACTCTAACCCTAACCTCTACTTTTACTTAGTAAAGCTGGATTTTTACTCCCCCAGGGGACGAATAGGTATATACTAAAGTATGACCACTTTTACTTGCATTGCATTGCTTCCATCACTGGGCTTGCAGTTTAGCCCCTTATAAGAAATGAATCAGTGACCCCTGTTTAATCTTATTTGGTATGCATTATTTAAACATCTGAACATCTGTAAGCTGCTTTGCATCCCATTTAATTAGTCTCAACTTTGCTGTCACTGACCTGGGGTCTGCTCTGTAGTGGTCCTGACTGAATTAGCGTTAGAGCTCTATATGTAGAGTCTCATAGTGCAAGATGTTGAGTAATGGCAGGGTTGACTCCATCTGTCCCTAAATGAAAGTGACTTTGAGCAAGAGAACCACACCATCTATGTGAGCCTACATGAGAGGCACAGAGTGTTTTACAACCAGCTAAATAATAAAAGTTGAACCATTAGGACACAAAATATAAGCTCTTTTCTCAGTTTTTAATATTATATAATGATGGAAAAAAAGGTACATTTAAAAGGAGAATAAATCATCACTAACTCCATCTAGTGATATAACAGCAAAGCACAAGTATTTAGACATGACAGTAAAACTGTAAAGTGACCCGAGCAGACTGCGGTTTAACACAGAGCTGAAGGAAATCACTAAAGCCTCAGGAAATACTTCAGATTAATGAAAAGATACAGTTAAATTTAGAAATATGATAAAAATATGACAAAGTCATTCCAAAGAAAGATTGCAGGCTCCTCTCTGACAGTCCCATCGGCCAGGATGTCTCAGAGGAAATTATAAGAACCATCAAACAGGCAAAGTCAGGATTATCATAACACACCATCGTACAATAAAAACACAGTTAATATGCTAATGTGTGGCATTAGAGCTGCAATCATTAAATGATCAGTCCTCTGAGAGAAAATGAATCCACCCGCTCCGCAAACGGACATCTTCACGCATCTCAGCACCAAACAGACTAAACAGCTGATCAGGTTCAGAGGTGACTGGCTCATAAATTAATAGCTCAATATGGAAAATCCTGTTGTGTACATGTAGCCTCGGGGCTAGCTGAGGGGATTAGAGTCTGGGACTTACTACTGGGATGTCCTGATCATGTTTATTGACATGAGAAATGGTAGCCCTATATGGCTCTGTTCATGGTGTTAATTCTTCTAATCCCTATGGATTCATATAATAACCATACTTCTCTTTAAAAAACACTTTGTGTTCTTAAGTGATGTTAGCCATGCTGTGGCCTGTCTCTCTCTCCGGCTCCTGAATTCCAGCCCATGTCTTTATCGCTCTCTCCCTCTAAAGTTCTGATTCTCTTATTTCAATTGTAAATTTAAATTTAGGAATTTGTCCATAAAAACAGACAATGTTCTTTCATGATTCTGTCCATGGTGCTGAATATTACCATCTGACTTTCTGACCCCATAAATGCTGATTCTGAAATGTGTATGGCAGAAACCATATGAATCATAAAGCACATTGAGCTACTGTGACTCTGTCCTTTGTCCTAAAATAAGCCTGTAATAACCTCTGTCTGTGTCTTTGTGACCCCCCCAGTCATGGCAACGTTTTTAACTATATTTAATTTAAGGCCATAAAAACAATCAGTCACACCCGCCGTGACTCTGGTGCTCGTGCTGGTCCACTATTGTTCGTAGTCAAATGTAGTAGTTCTGTCCGTGGTGCTGAAGCCGGTATCCTCATTTCCCCTCAATGATTCTCATATTTAACGATTTTTGAGCCATATTTGAATCAACTCAGTTGTTGGTTGTTGAGTCTGTGACTCTGTCCGCGGTGCTGATCTCCATAATCTTCCCGCCGCTGAGAATCACCGTGAACAACCTCCGCCTCGCGTCACAGTGGTAAAGATGCCCTGCGTGTTGCAGCGATATTAAAGTGCTGCAGACACAAAAAGCGCCTGTCCTCGCGTGGAAATATAAACCCTAACTTAGTGTAAGTAAGGGAGTCCCGATCACAGAAGCGCGAGCACATCGACACAAAGTCACAGCAGGAACGTTCGAGACAGTCTGGAGGAGCGCAAGCACTCGGGTCCAGGCGTCCACGCGTGAATCATGATATGAATGATCTGAATATGTGGGGGTCGGGCTGGTCAGACCCCCACATGGTTCTCGGGGCTCACTCACCTATGTTGATGTTAGTTGGGAAACTTGTGCCGCTGCAGAGCCCGAGCAGCAGCGGGAGCAGGGCCGAGGGCAGCGGGCAGCTCTGCGGCCGCATGGTTCCTCCTGCAGTCCCGGAGGAGCCGCCGTAATCCCATTCACAGCTGACCGGAGAGACGCTCCGCAGCCCGCGAGCACACTCACGTCCACCGGTAGCGCTCCTCTGTGTGTGTGTGTCTCGGAGTCCTTCCCTCTTTTCTAACATCCACACTCGGAGCGCAGAGCCGTGCTGCCGCTGAGACTGTACCTCTCTCACCCCCTCCACTCTCTCACCCTCTCTCTCTTTCTGCTGCGCACATCAGTCAAGTGTAGTTACACCAAAATCAGTGCGTGACATTACTGTGAAACACATTTGGCCACACGACAAAAGGAGTTCAGCAGGTCAGATTTCTGTTAGTGAAGGATCGCCCGCTTCTCCCGCTGGTCACTGAGATTCACACGTGTGCTAACTGTTTACACCTTTCACCGTTTCACCGGGATCTGGTCAGTTTACAGACTTCAGTCTTTTCCTTCTAAACCTTCCCATTCGGTGCGAGCAGGCTTCTAAGCTGCGCGGGGAAACCCACGCCTTAACCACTCGGCCATCACTGAGGCAGCGCCTCTAACTGTCCTCCTAAATCAGTGGTTATGGGTTCGAGACCCATCCTAGGAGTATATCAGCGTGACCGGAGCAGTGGATGTTTGGTGGAACAAAGAAAGGCAACTGCAGCCCTGAGAACTTTTTTTTCTTGGACTGACCTTCACAGAAAAGCCTGGTGGGAAACGGATGACTTAGAACCATGAAAAGTTTAGAGCAAAGAGCAAAAACCTGCAGTTCCTCGAACGTCCACTTGAGGCTCCAACAGTGGAAATAACACATTTATATCTTTCTCCAAAACCAGTTTTGGTTTTTGCTGCTAATTTAACATGGCTGCTGCTAGTTCACAACACACCCGTATGTTCTCCTAACACACCTGCTGACATTGTTCACAATCTTGCAGCCCTGCTGTTCTCTCATGTGTGTGTTTGTGTGCGTGTGTGTGAGAGAGAGTTAACCTCACTCTTCAGCCTCACACAGCTGGAAGTAACGAGCTCACCTGAGGGCTCAGCTGATGCCTGAACTCACATCAGCATTGGAGAGGAACTGAAACAGAACCGTGGACCCAACTCACCAGAAACCTTCTTCCACCACGTTCTTTAATGTCATGAACTTTTGTTCAGAGTCCAACCAGAACAACTAGTTCTGACACAAAGCTGTATTATTAGCTGTATCGTTACATGTAGTCAGTGCTGTCTGAATGAAATCATAATTTTATCTCATCTTATCTAATGTGACCACAAACTCAAATGGGTTTGTAGATGTCAACCTGTTGCTAAAACAGAATGCAGACAGAAGACAAACCAATATCTTCTTTCAGCCAATCAGAGCTTTGCTCAGTCCTCAGGCTTTTAGCTTCAATCACAAGAACTGGGCTTATCCTGGGGCAGAGAAGGCAAAACGAAAACATTAAAAACTGTTCCTGTTCATTGTAACAAAGCACCAGCACAGTGTACATGTATGACCATGAGAACAGAGAATATGCGTGATTACAATCCTCATAAATCACTGAGCAAAATGAATAATGATGCTACAGGAACAACAGTAAGATGGGGATATCAGTCCATTCACTGGAGCTGCTGTGGCCTCCAACTGCAGCCACCAGCACATCGCCTTTCACCAACATACAGAGACAAAAGAAGAAACCACAAACTCTCTGTGTCTCCTACACAGGATTATTTATTTGCTTCCCTTCAGACAGGATTTAATTGTAAATATTTTAGACCAAAGAAAAAGGAAAGTGGGAGCGGACACCTGAAAGCTGAGTTTCTCTGCAGTGACACACTGAGGGTGAGGCTGCGTGTGCGTCTCACTGAAAGCGTGGAAATGCCCGCTTTAGATGCTGATGTTTACAACATCACACACGTAGCGGCTGGACAGCAGCAGATAGAGGAGAGCTGTGGGAGCGAAGCCGCTTCACTGTCAGAAGTCGATCGTTTGTCGTGTTTCCTCTGGATCCGCCCACGCTGCCGTTGGCCTGCTTGCTGAGCACAGATAAATTAATTAGGCAGGGACTTGCATGAAAGGGGGTGGTCACGTTCCCCCCTCTCTTTGTTTTGTCTCCATAAATTGGTCGACTGAGAGTGAATAGAAGAGGATTATCAGCGTCCCCGTTACTCCACGTGTGGGCACATGTTGTAGGACGTTAACGGTGCGCCTGTTGTCCTCTGGTCCTGAGAAAGAGATTCTGATGGACTTTGAAGCTTTCGGGTGGGAAAAGTGACTTTAAATAAACCATGAAATGTTCACTAATTAATGTAACAGCAGAGTAGAAGAATCAAATCTAAAATGTTTGTGTCGTGATTGTAAAATGCGTCGATCTGATCGTTCAGACTGAAAAGTCTCAGCAGCTGTTGGATAAAACATAAAACATGTTCTGCTGGCAGAGTGAGGCACACCAGGAGCCTCTGAGGCTGATCACAGCAACTCTGCGCTCTGCACTTTAAAGCCTTCGTACACTCGAATCACTCTCAGACTGCCACCGGGTCCCAGTTTAGATACTTCTGTTAGTACACTTCCACATAGTACAGCATGTCCTTTTTACTTATTAAGCTCTTTACTGTGTTATTGGGACTGAGTCTGAAGGCCTTGTTGGATCTGCTCCACTGTTATTTTCACAGGTTTGCTGTCTGAGGGCATCAACGTCCTCAAGAACTCATGAGATGCAATGTGTAGCTGCATGACATCCCCGACACAACTCCGACAAAGCACCTACACGTATGAGCTTTAATACACGTATGTAACATCCAGAAGTGTACAAAAAGGCCTCTTGGACCTGCACCCGACACCCGACAGGAAGTTTTATTTAAGTTAAAAGAGTCTTTTTTTGTTCAGTTAGATTTTGCTTTCAGTCCAGTTTCCTGTGGCCATTTTTCATTTTGAAGTCTGTGCTGTGGTTATTTTTAAGGGTTAGTACTGATGTGATGCAGCATCATAACAGTGGAAACACTTCTCAGATTGATGGCGCGACTCAAAATTTGTCTAAGAATAAAGATTCTTGTTTCTGTTTGATGGTGGTCGCCGGAGAGGAGGGAAGCTGACCTGTTAGACACACCAGAGCTGCAACGTTAGCCACCCATTAGCAGTGTGGTGGCTGTCCTGACGCATTATTACAAGGTGGCACCAACCGACAGTTCAAAGCCGTTTCATCAGTAAATGTTGTGTAATATCATTAAGATCACAGCAGTAAAAGCAGCGATTGTCATTTTTCTCTTTTTTTGCCTCCTCCTTGATTCAACTCTAATTAGCGCCATGTGTAATTAGCTGAAGCAGCACATGCAGACAGGCATCTGCTTTATCTATATGAGCTACATCAAATGGTCTAATCTGAGTCCATGCGCTGCCTGCGCGCTGACAGGAGGACGTGATTGGTTGACAGGATGTTTAGCGATAATATCTGAAGGAGATCTGGCTGTGATAGGAGTCTTTTAGCTCAGAAAAATGGAGACGTCTGTCAGACGTGACTCTTTTCCTCATTGTGCTGATTTCCAGCTGCAAACCAATTTCATTACACACTGACAACAGCTGGAGGTCAGAAGAACTGAGGCATCCTGCGGCTCTAAAGCCTGTCTGTGATCGTGGATGTAAACTCAATTAAAACTGTGCTTGTTTTGTTTTTGTTCTGTTTGACTGCGTCTTTAGGCAGAGCTACTTGTGGTCAGACACATTACTGTTGGATTGTGTTACATTTATAGTCTTGAGAAAGCAACACAAAGCAAAATAAAATTATTTTAAGAAATCATGTCAATTCAGTTTTTATGCAGCGTCAGTCATCTCAAGGTAATTTATATTGCAAAGTAAAGCAACAGTCAAACAGTCCCAGATGAGCAGCACTTCCTTTGAACAGGAAGAGATCTCTGCAGAACTAAGATGTCCTGACTGATTGGAGGTGGAGGGGAAGGACAAAACAGCTTTGTCTTCTAACATTAATCACCTTCTTTAAAGTCACCCTACAAAACTCTCATCAGTGTCTTAAACCTGCATTCTTTTTGATGGTCAGCAGGGGGCGACTCCTCTGGGTGCACAACGACTTCCAGTTGTAGACAGATATTTAAAACTAAGCGCTGAAAGTGTGTTTTTATAGAAGTCTGTAAGATAACAGCCCACGGCTCCTTTGTTGAGTAAACTGAGGTTATTGTTAGTGTCCAGGAGGACGATAAAGCAGGGAATGTTTGTTCCTCTGTTTCAGGGTCAAAACCACCCTCTGCTCACCGTGTCTGACACTCAGCTTAAAACCTAACAAGAGGATTAACCAATATACAATGCCATGGTGGCACCATCAATATCATATATATCACTTTTATTCACCCCAAAGCAATTAGACAATCCCAGACGAGCAGCACTTGGCAAAAGTGGGGAGACAGAACTCTCTTTTAACAGGAATGTCATGGCTACTGAACGGACTCACGCGCAGACAGTTCTTTTCAAGGAAACACTTGTTCTCTGTTTCTTTACAAGAAAACTCTTTGTGTGATTATTTAACGTGTACCGTAGTTTTCGGGTCATAAACCGCTACTTTTTTCCCACACTGTGAACACTGCGGCTTATACTGACGTGCGGCTAAAGCCTTTTTTTTTCATGCGGCCAAAAACATTTTGCCTGGTAACAGTAGACCAATAAAATTGATAAGTAGTTGTTTGTTGTTTGTAAAAAAACCATAAGCAACGTAATTTGTGTGTTACTGATACGTACGTATACTTAAAGGTAGCCGTGTTACAGGCGCTGTTCGAGGAAAAAAAGCATTTGCAGTATGTATTTTTGTATGTTACCATGTTTATGTTACCTTACGGATTAAATTAAACGTTAAAAATCCTCACGTGTAATATTTCTGTGTAAATATCTCATATTACGAGTGAAACGCATACGGCTTAAAATCCGGTGCGGCCTGTACAAGTACAAGATGATTTTCTTTCTAAAATTAGAGCATGCAGCTTTTAATCAGGTGCGCTCTGTAGTCGGGGAATTACGGTAGTTGTTTTTTCCTGTGTAATAATATTCAACATTGCTGTCAATACATTTCTCAAAAAATGCCTCTCTGTGCAAAATGGGTTCAAAAACATAAACAGCTGTGGGATCCTGTTTGTCCGTGATTTGAACCGGGGAACAAATCGTGGCAGGATCAGCCTGATGTTATTTGTATCCAGCTGTAACTTTACTGTATAAAGAGCTAACATCTCCAAAATGTCAGGAGTAGTTAGTCATTACAACAAGTGTTTGTGAACTAAAAATCAAGAATGTGGGATACTGTTTGTCCGTGATTTGGAGAGCCCAGCGCTGCTCCCGACGAAGGGAAAACCAATTCTGCAGGGGAGACCTACCTCGGCACTTGTGCAGGTGAAACCAAAGGGAAGATATGCTTCACCATATTTTCTAGTCTTTGGCTTAGAATGAAGTTGGTTTGGAAACATATTCAGCGATGCTTCATCTGCTGCTCTGCGTTTGTGTGGGAGCCCCGTCA